TTGTATTATGAATAGAAACTCCAACTACATATTACTTTGTCCTGCAATGAGGATTGTATTTTTTTTTTTGAGAAATATATGTTATTTGTCATTCTAAGTACTGAAGTAATGCAGATGGACTTATCTCAACTAAGTGTCCATGTCATTGAATTCTGCACTAAAATTCCAGATGTAAAAATGAATGTTAAGAGAAATTTTCTTTTACCCGGCCAAGAACTTGGATAAATTTTTTATGAAATAATTTACTAGGCAAGTAACATACTTTTATGAATTTACTAAAAATCAGTTGTTTTTATATTTTTACCATCTATTCTTTATCTGGTACCATCAAGTGTGTTCATAGATTTGTCTAGATGAAAGAAAAAGTAAATTTGTAAGCTAATTTTAATTGACAAGCACCGAATTATTTGCAATTAACTGACAAGAGTAGCCCGAAAGTTAAGCCATGATTCTTAATTAACCGAAATGATACCCCGCAATATCACCATTTAAAAAATTGTAAAAAGTTTATTATTATAATTTAGCTTTAAAAAATAAAATAAAGATAAAATAAAAAGATAAATTTATAGTGGATATTAAATCCATCTTTCTTTTACTATTGTCATTAGAATCTAATGTTTAATTAATTAATTAATATTGTGAGTAATAATTAATGGATAGTAATTTCCAATTGATTAATAATGAAATTTTTATTTTGCCTTTGTTAACGTTTTAGAGAAAAGGGTTAAAATCAAGATTATTTAACGAACTATCGTTACTTGTATAACTTTTCAAGCTTTTAGATTTAGCAATCTCTTCATCCAAGATTCTACTTGTATGATATGCATCTGGATGTGATTTGTGTATTTGTTGCAAATCACCACCATCACCACCACCACTGCTGCTGCTGCTGCTGCTGGTATCATTATTAAAATCAATTTCATGTTTTTTGACTTTAGAAAGTTTGAATAATCTTTTTATTAAACTATTATTATTGTTACTATTATTTTTCAAACTTTTATTTTTAAAAATTTCATCAAGTTTGTTTCTAGCAAAGTCAAGCAGCTCTCTGCTAGTTGGTCTTTTTGATGGATCCACATCCCAACATCTCTGCATGATTTGCACATAATCATCAGGCATTTCAGATAATATTGGTGGTCGTAAACCTTCTTCACATATATCAAAAACCAAACAATGATTGTGAGCTCTATCATCAAATGGTGGACAACCTGCAAATATTTCCCACATTAACATTCCAACACTATAGATATCTGATTCTTTGGTGTTCTTTTTGCCTCTAAGTAGCTCAGGTGCAACATATGATACAATTCCATAGACTTTATTTGATGACTTTTCATCAACTGGTCC